TCTCATTTGTTTCTGAAAACGGCATATTTGGCTTTTTAGTTCCTCGTGGTGCTAAAAGTTCAGTGGAATCAGGGGGTCTTTTTGCAAGTTTTTTTCCTGTCCTAGTTATAACAGTATTGCAACTTTCAGGAAAAAGAACCCAAACTAAGCCATGAGTATGCTACTTGACTGGAGAATGTTGTGTGCTAACAAAAATAGCCTCATTCTCTAGGCAGAACTTAGTTCAACTGTTTCAATGATATCATCACTGAAATCTTCTTTGTCATTACTTGGCAAATATTATCCACTCATGTCTGTCTTTAAGATATTCTGTTTTGGAAGCAACCGGTTCCTGATACTATTTTTCAGGTATTGGTTTCAAAATGTATGCAATAAGAGAACAAACTGCATGTCTGCTGGCTGTATTTTGACTTAGTAACAGTGTGAGACTCATTTTTCCTACCACTTCTAACTGTAAATAGTATTTGTACAAAGTTGTAGCTAGCAGTATTCAAAACATTACTCTGCATAACTTAAAGTTTATGAACAGCTCTCTGCTGTAAACTAAGCTAAAGTTTTCAGCCTTTCTTCTTACGGTAGCTTCTGATGCTGTATGTATTTGTCTTCTTGCTAATGAGTCTATCTACTACTTGTATAATTCCTCTTTTTAAAGGTCTGGAAATAAAAGTAAATTAATACAAATTGTTTCCAGCACTGGTTGGGTCCTTACCCTTCTTTTATAAGTTGCTCAAAACCAAGGCAGTATCAATGAGAAAACTATATTTATATCATACCAGGAAACAGTTTTATGGTTAGGCCCTAGCCAACATGAAACAGAACATAAACAGACATTGTATTCATAAAAGTACAATTAAATCAGAAGACATAAAAAGACCAGTTAAAAATTTGCAAAGCTAAATGCCACTAGTAAGCTTTTAAGTAATGTGAGAACAAGCTTGTTAGAGTAATTGTTTGGGCAAACTGAAATTATTTTTCAGTCAGTTGAAATTTTATTTCCTGCCCCCCCACTCTTTAAAAGCTACACTTGTAACTCATCTCTTCAAGGAGTAGTACAAGGCATAGTGCAGAAATAGAGTGGGAGAAGTGCAAGGACTAGGGCAGTGACTTCTGCAGTTGGAGGTATTGCTGAAGGTCTCTCCCTTGTTGTACATGGCAACTTGATCAGAACGACGCCTTGGCTTAACCTGTTCTTTCATCTTTGATGCCACTGGCCTGGCCCTTGTGGAATTGTATGGAAACTGTATTTTTCATGAGTGATTTTTCTTTAAAAAAAGTAAGGAGAGAAGTATTTTATAGTCACCATGTACAAAAACTAGGAGAACATTTTAAAATTCCACTCATATGGGTTTTGGAAGTTACTGACTCTTTGTTCTACATCTCACTACAGCAGTTCTGTCAGACATTCTCCCTTTGTAGAAATCAGATTTTTAAGAATAATGACAATTAGTAATATGCATTTCAGAGAATGTAATCTCTCAGGCATAATGAGTTTTATTAAATAACAATACTCAATGCTTTTGTTATGTTTGAATGATAAAGACGGGAAAGTGTTATCAAGACCATCAAAAGATAAAGTAAATTATCTGTGAGGAATACTGTAGACTTATCAAGTGCAGTAATGTCTGTACTGAACAGATCAGAAACACACACCAAGAGTGCTAATTTAAGGCTCTTTGACATAGTACTGTAAACAGTGCATTAGGGAATGGGCAATCAAAAAACCCAGTAAGGCCTATACTGTATGAAGTATATTAATATACACCACATGTTTTTGCCTTGCATGAAGTGTATTAGTGCAAATATGAATGTTAAATCTTACTCAGTGGTGTGATCAGCCTCACCAGGTAAAAGGCAGTATCTCACACCATAAACAGAAAATTTCCTACTGTTTACCTTCTGCATACAGTCTTGCTGTTTAACCTCTATCTTACATAAAATACACGTTTCCACAATGAATTATAGCAATTTAATGGTACAGAATATTTTACTCTTGTGCAGCTGGGTGCCACGTAACAGTTGTGTAACATACCCACCATAGATTATCTTCATAACTAGGTGAAATTTTGAAGTTCACTGTTGATGGACCTTAACATGCACCCAGAGTCAGCATTGGAGTCCACCTTCCCTGTTAGAACATAAAGCTCAGGATGAAGTTGCTCAGCATTATGACACAGAGTATTTATTGTTGCATTAATTCTTTGATAATAATTTGTCACATTACATAGAAAAAAAAGTCAAGTTATTTTTCATGTTGATTGAGATGGATAGTAGCTGCAGTTTCCCTTTCTTTAATTATGCCAGCCAAAGCACTTGCATATATCTGTGGGTGTCATTCCTTTTGGCCCATTCCAAGGCAGGACAGAACCTGGGTGAAAGACATGTCCCATCAGTCAACAATGAATCTTTTTGTGAGGGGATGAGAGATTGTGGTACCACTTGTTGACAAAATACTTTCCCTGCTCCCGTTTCATTATCACAAGAAGAGCGAGAAGCACTGTATTAATCTTTATATTATGTATATATTCTCAATATTCCCAGCGAGAAAAACTAAGAATCCATGAGAGTAGACTAAAGGTTAAATGTATGTGTCTGGGTGTGCATGCATGCACACATGTACACATTTGTGTTCTTACATACAAAATCACACATAAGATTTTTCTTCTTTTAATATGAACCTTGAGTCTTGTTCTCACTATAATGCTAGTTTGATTAATCTACAGTTTGCTAAAGCTTCTCTCAAGTTAGTCTGGCTTGAATGAGACACGTTGTGCTTCAAAGTAGTTGTGCTTGGATAAACAGCAGAGCAGTTTGGTCATGTCTCATTACCAGCTTCAGAGCTGGCTGTATGGTTGCACACTGGCTTTATGCCACATTTCACTTATGAGCCAACTAAAATAAAAAAAAACCATTTTTTTCTTTGGAAATTTCCCTGCCATGTAGTACTTTAGATTGTTCCTGCAGGAGGAAATTTCTTGAGGAACTACTAGCGTTCTTCCAGCTTGCCTGATCTTTGGTTAAAAAGCAATAACTGAGGAGGAAAGGAAAAGTAAAAATTTACCGTTTGCATTTTTTTATTATATGGGTACACCAAGTTCTGTCAAACGAAGAAGTAAATTTTTCAGAAGCTATGTCATGTTTTCATCCACACAAAAAACATGGAGAAACAGTGCAAGAGAATGCAGAAAATGAAAGAGAAAAATCTCTTATTTTTTAGATGCCACAGAGGGGCTGGCAATATCCAGGTGAAGGATGGTAAGAGAGGAAAAAGTAATGAGTATGGAGAAAATCTGTTGAAAATGAGAGAGAGAAATATGAAAGGAAGTGAATTAAAAAGGAAGGGAGACCTGAAGAGCTACTAGTGGGAATAAATGCAGGAATAGTATATGAAGTGACATTGACTGGGAGATGAGAAGATGACTGCCACTGTTTGGGGTGATCCTATGGGCCTACAGTGCTCTGTGCACCCATGGTGTTTGGTCATGGCATGCTTCTCAGCTGGGAAAGACTGACACTCTCTTATAGTCTGACAGAGTAACAGAGATGGTGGAAAATGTGCTGGGTTCTTATTCGTCAGCTTTTGCTCTCTAGTGCACTGTTTATACCTGCACTGGTTAATAATCCAGAGGTGCTGGATGAGGCAGTCTGTGGGACTAATAAGCAGAGAAAGGTGTTCTTTTGGTCTCTGCCTTCTTTTTGAGCCTGGAAAGTAAGTAGAGGTTTCCCAGATATACTAAAGACAGACCTCTGAAAGTGCACTAGTTTTAGTTACTTTTCTGATTATAGTGGCCATGTTTTTGCTAAATCTCTTGAAGATAAAAGTAGCAATTTCCAAAAGAAATCCAAAGAGAATACCACCAAACCACTCTTTTCTAAATCAGTAGATATTTCAGTAGGTGTAATTTTTGTTTGTGTGTTTTGTTAGTTAAGATATCTAGAATACTTTTGCTCCTTCAAACATTGGGAATGGAAAATTTACAGTTTCCAAAATAAAAAATCTGTTTACTCAGAAAAGAGACTAGAGAAACCACAATAAGAATTTCTTAGTACACTGTCTCACATGAAAACAAATTAAAAAGTAACACTGTTGAAGCATCAATGTGCACCAAATATGGTACTTTTGTTTGTAAATTGTTGTTGTTATTACCTATAAAAGGTCATGATGCCACGCAGTCTCCAAACCACTAATATGGCTTTTGCAGATTGTTGATGTGAGGCTTCCACAGAAACATGGGCTTCTTAGCTTTCTTTGCATAAGGCTACTAGTTATACCACTGAGATAAATCTTGATTATCAGCTGATGTTTCACAGCAGTACTCCAAGTTATGCCTTTCACAGCAGAGAAAGTATATCAAATACATTTGTCTTAGAATAAGTAAATTCTGGCTAAAACAATAATATACGTTTTCTTAAACATAGGTTTCTAGATATAAAATTCAGCATATATTCAGCACATCTCACTGAATAGCTCAGCTAATTTGTTCAGTTCCTGTTTTTCTGGAAAATAATAGCAAACTCCTCATCTGCCTCAGACGATAATTTGTAAATGGAGGCTGTACTGTAAAGTCACAATCAGCAAGATGAGAGTTAAGTAAAAATCTCTTTAGTAGAAACATATGCAAAGACAGGGATGCTCTATGGGGAAATTGCTTATCCAGCTGATACTGGTTGTAGTTCAATACTGACTTAACATTTCAATATACTAGTAAAAGAAACTAGTTTTCAGACACTTTTTTGATGGATAACTAGGGAATAAGTATATTGCTTGTTACTTTTCAGATACTTTTAAAAAATTGTTCTATCACAGACCCTTAAGACTTTTTTGCATCTTTGCCTGAATTTCAGCTCATGTTAAATCCTGTGATCAGCTTTGAATTTACTTTGATCTGTGTGTTATTGTTCTGGGACTCTGCTAGTACCATTATTAGCTGGTGTATAAATCTATCTATAGTTATTTAGTAATGTTCTCATTATGCTGACTGGGGTTCTGTGGTCTTTTTCAGTGTACCTTGAGGACAGTTTTGTGAAATCCGGAGTATTCAACGTGTCAGAACTTGTGAGGGTGTCAAGAAGTAAGTTAATATTTGCGTTTAATAATTTCCAAAGCTGGCTATAATCAAGTGAAGATTTTTTCCTTGAACTGTTTTCTCTACAAGATGTAAGATGCAGAGGAAATGCCTATAACCATGCAGAATTTTGATATATTTGACCAGGGTATTACATTATATCTGACCACAGTATTACAATTCATCTTGCACATGTTAGTAATAAAACAGATAGTTCTTCTTCTGTCTCTTTGATATTTAAAGATGGAATCAATTTGTTATATCTCCCTCTACACACCTAGTGGTCTGATGTTTCAATAAAATTACCATATCTAGCAAAACCTTCTATTGTTAGACTTACAGTTTTTTAAAGATACCCCACACATCCTTGGATATTACTAAAAGATCTGATTATTAATTTAGGTTTTTTTTTTAATTTGTAGCTCTTAAAATAAAATCACAGTATGGTTACAGAGGATGATCAACAATGTATTAAATATTTGTGTTTGATTTAGTCTTAGCATTAGCTGCAACTGAATTTGTAATTGCATTTTCTTGTTTTGGCATCAGAGATGTTATGCCCATGAACATAAAAACCTGTCATAAAAGTAGATATTAAAGTACAGGTGAAGTTTCGACTGCAGAAAGAAAAACTAAAAAGAATATGAGATCTATTTTGTTGACATCTAACAATGGTTATAATAGTATAAGATAAAACCTGTCCACATTTTCATTTTGCATCACTTCCTGACACTTTCTTTTCTCCCTTTATTATCGACACTATTAAAGTATTTCTCTCAAGACATCATTAGGAAGTAAAGAATAGTTGATAGTTATAGTTAAAAGTGTCTACAGTGATGATACCAACATTGTAAAAATTGAATGGTGCAGAAAAATCACTTTTCTGGTAAGGTGAGGACAAAGTCAAAAAGGCTTCCAAAGTTTCTAAAATGTCTGTCCATATTTTGCACAGGTGTTAACTCATGCACGATCAGGGTGCTTGAGGAATATAATTAACTTACTGAGTCTTCAAATGCCTGGGTTACTTAATTTTCTGTGGTCAGAAATTAATATTCAACAGCTAAAATGGTGTTAAATCCTTCAGCGAAACAGTGAGAATTGCAGTGCTGCAGTGCTAAGGCATATCTTTTATTTTGTGCTTGCTGAAGATATGTTTTTGCTGTTTTAGAAGGCTAAGGATGTGTGAATTATAGCTTTCTTTTTGTTGTCAGGTGGTTAAGCACATTTTAAAGTATAAGACCATTTAGGTTAAAAAAGAAACAGTGTTGTAATTATGCTATGAAACTGCACGTTATGCAGCTGTTATACATGATATACTTCTAATAATAAGCATTAAAGCATGTGGTTTCTGTGGGACTTCTCACCATGCATTTGTTTAACCTCAAGCTGCAACAGAGTTGTACTTAAACTGTCAGGAAAAATACAAACCTTCAAATACATTACACAACATGCAATTATTCTTATAAGTGCCAAAGGTAGTTAAAATGCACAATGCACAGACAATGAACAAAGGTAAATATACCACAATATGTAACACATAATTTATTCTTGAATTGCCAGAGTCTGTATGCTACACAGGCCTTATAAGGAGGTGAAGGTTACACTGACTCTACATATTTGCATGTAGGTGTACGTATGCAAAGCAGAACTTGTGGCACTGGGTGAAAGAAAAAGAAGGCAGAAAACCAGGCTGGCAGTACAGAAGGCTATTATTAATTCAAAAGATTTAGCGTTAATAGGAAGAAATTAAGTATGTCTCTGAATTTCTTATTCCCATTTTTTTCAGTTCTTTAATAAATAATGCTATCTTTTCTCTTAAATCCGGCCTAATTCATTATAGTGCTTGAGGTTTGTATTATCTTTTTCATACTGGTGTTTTCGTGTTATCTGTTGTATAACAAATGTTTTCTCTCTGCATAACTGCTAAGTAAATACTAGGGAATATAATTCACTCTTTAGATACATAATCCTTGATGCAACTTGTCTGGACTTTGTTTCCGCAAGAGGCAGAAAATTAGATACATGTAGTAACATCTTGATATTTTTCCAAGTGTTAAAAAAGAAAAGATAGATTAAAAGATAGAAGATTATCTCTGACTTCTTATGGTGACGTGTTTTTCAGCACCCATAACCCAGGGAAGTGGAGTGAACTTCCCAATTGGAGAGCTCCCGAGCCAGCCATATTACCATGATATGAATTCGGGTGTAAATCTACAGAGGTCCTTGTCCTCTCCACCAAGCAGGTAACAACTTGAAATAAGTGCTAATATGAACCGTGTTTAATAGTGTAGGACAAGCAATTCACAAATATTTTCAACAACCAACTACTTTGTTAATTTCTTCTGATTTTGTGAGGCAAGATACTTGTGTATGTTACCATAATCTCCAAACAGATTTGTAAGTTATAAATTTTGTCATTTGAAATGGTGTCATTATTGCCTGTCATCTTGCTTGATATTGAAGATGGTGGTAACTTTTTTCAGGGTTTGAAATGCTCACTACATCATCTGCCCTGAGGACAGCTGCGTGTCCCAAAACTGTTGCTGAGCTGCAGAAAGGTCTAGCACTTGGGAACATGCTGGCAGGGCTCAGAGAGGCTGTGGGCAGAAAGGCTGTCTCCCAGGGCTCCCTCTTGCACCTCCATCTTGCAAGATATGTTTGGACAGATACTGTTAGCTCAAGAAAAGGTGTTAGGACAGGTATATAAAGACAAGGTGTTTTCATCCATAACAGCCCAGCCCATGCAAAACTGTTTCCTGTCTCACTGTTCCAGGGTGCATTTCCCAACAGAGTGGAAAGAAGGAGGGGCATGTGAGTTACAGGTTAATTTTTCTCAAGGGTCTCCCCTTGCCTGCTACAGGCTATTTAATCTGAGTAACTGACTTCCTCCTTGTTCAACATTCTTCCTTCTCCCATCTCTGAGAAAAAGTCCCATTTCCTCCCTTGGGAGCCGCTGGTGAGCCCACGGATGCAAAGAACCTGCTGTGCCCTCCTCCTGACTCTCAGATAATGTACTGTCTGTCAGACCCTAGGGCCCCCTGGTTTTCTGAAACTGTCTGCTATACCATGAAATCACAAGCACTATAGGAATATAGGAACTATCATTGTCCCACGTTCACCCCAGTGAGTCAGGAAGTGTCTGCACATTTGGACAGGATTTAACAGGACTATCAGGGGGCTGAGGTATTCTTCCACCAGCACTTGGTTCTTCTGAGTTATTTTACTCATGTTCCCATATTTAATTCCATTATATTTTCATCCTGGCAGTTTACCAAATGAATTTCAGAAATTGATGGATTAATTAGGATGATGGGTTAATTATCACAGTGAAGCAGTAGCAAATATAGTAGTAGTGGTAGTAGTGGTAGCAGTAGTAGTAATGGCAGTAGTAGTAACAGTAATAATAATAACAACAACAACACACCATTAAAACCTTTATTCTGGTTTTATTTGGCAGTCAGTATAACAGCTTCAGTATATATTGCTATGAAGAAACTTCACTTTTCTCTACTATATGGAAGTTCTGCCTCATTTTTTATAGTGTGGCTTGAAATATGGGCCTTTTTTTGCTTTTAATTTAACTAGTCAAAAATGAAAAGTGTGTGTTTCAAACTCTGAAAAGTTTGGGAGTTTGACCTGATGGAATACAGGAAAGTACATTTTTTCTACATTAACACATTCACAACAGTTCCTGTTCTACCTTGGCCTTAAACACTTTCCAGTGACTTCCTACACTTCAAGGTTTCTGCATAAAGTTTAGTACCTTCAGGACACAATCTTTCTCTAGTAGTCTCCAGGAACTGGTTTCTTGGTTGGTCAGTGAAATGCTGTGGACTTCTATATTACCCATTTACACCATCTTTGAAATATTAAGTCATGTGAATAATGCAAGTGCATACCTACATCACATATTATTAATATTGCCTGTGCAAGTTAATGTAGGTTGTAATATTCAGGGGTTTTTGGGTTTTTTTGGCTTTGTTAGCCTGAATTACTCTCTATTAAAACATTTGTAGAGATCCAGACAGTTTATATACCACTACTAGATGCATATTATGTTCACTGACAAATCTCACAATTTTTCAACAGCAAAAGACCCAAAACTATCTCCATAGATGAAAATATGGAGCCAAGCCCAACGGGAGACTTCTATCCTTCTCCAAATTCACCAGCTGCAGGAAGTAGGACATGGCATGAAAGAGATCAAGGTGAGTAAAATGGGATTGTTTTGCCTTGAATTATGCTGAAATATACAATAAATCACTGCCATTCCATTGCTGCAAAAAATGATGGCTTTTTATAAAAATCTTTTTTTCTGAGCAGTGTATGTATTTGCTGGTTTTGTAAATGGATTTAAAACAAACAGTCAACAAGATATTATATAAACAACCACTATAAATATCAAAAAATATAATATAATATAATATAATAATAATAATAATAATAATAATTATTAATAATAATATTCCATCTGATGGCAGCCTTATTGTTTGAAAAGGCATGTGACAAATGAGGTACTTGATATTATGTATACTGTGATCATCCCAGTAGAATTTGAAGTCCAGTGCTTTCAAACAAAAATCAAAATTTCTCCTTCCTATGGTTTAATCAACATAATATTACACAGTTTCTGAACTACCATGACATGGACATTTAATCTCTACCGTGTGACTCAGAATAGATCCGATAGGCTCTTCCTGAAGAGCTGACACAAAGCTCTGTGGGACGCTATTTGTAGGCTGAGGGGATTGGTAAATTGGTGGAATGTTCTGGGTCATCCAAAGCAACATACATGCCTACGTGGAGAAGGAAGTTGTGGCTGTCAAAAGAGTGAAATTAATTGTTGTAACTCTCCCTCATGTTGTCTTGATGCTTGATAAACCTAGGTGCCTATGTAGTCTTTTCCCTCCCCTTTGTTACGTGAGAATGTGTTTAAACTCATATATTTGAACAGTGTTGGTTAATGGATCCTGTGGCTGAGGCACTACAGCTGTCTGGAAAGACTGTGACATGTAAGCATAGTATGTAAAGGAGACATAGAGAAAAAAAAAATACAGTTGCTTCCTTTGTGAATCTTTCAACATTTGCCCTCTGTTTTCACATCCACTGCTGATCATTGCTCTCAGTTCTTCAGCAACTTAGTGACCCTTTGGTCTCACCTCATTTTTATATGGTTTTAAAGCTTATAAAGAAAACCCCACCAACCACCCCCCCAAAAAGAACCCACAACTCTTTTTATTTTTTCCCCTGCTGAGTTTTCTTTTTCATCTCCATGTGCAAGGAAGCATGCGATTGGTATTTCTTTTAGCTGTCTTTTATTTTTACATTTCTGTTATAGTCAACCTCCTTTTAATCTGCTTTCACCTACCTTCTTATCTGTGCTCTTACCATTAGGCTGTTCTCACTCAGTGTTAACTAGTTTTCTGGGTTTTTTTCTTCATAATGTCTTTTGTACTCCACTTCTCATGTAGGCTCTGATACTTTTTTGACTGTTTGAAGCATTCACTTTTGAATTTTTTAAAAAGAGGCTTGCCCGTGGTTTTGCATAACCTAACTTAAGAACAGTAAATAGGAGATCTGCCATCTTGAATCTTCCTCTTTATGCAAAATAATTTTCTCTGTGAATGCTACCTGTTTTACTGTGAAACTTTATTGCGATTTTTCATGAAAGGCTGGAAACATACCTCAAATAAATTTTTTACTTTCTAGATAAATTATTTTTATAGTTGTAGGGAAAAAAAATTGTTATTCCTCTCTCATGTATCCCCATTTATGAAATGAAGTAGTTTTGTGCTGCTGCATGAGCTGTAGGGGCTTCTGGAAAGGTCACTGCCATATAGACTCCTGAGTGCAAGTACTGCTGACAGAACCTTTCACAGATGATCTCTATAGTTCTCAGGTATCTCAACTGCATTTTAGGTCTTGAATCATTCTGCTTGCAAAGAATTCTTTTCCATGAACACTGGATTTGTTCATGTTTGTATGAACTTCATGTTAGAGTTATCAGTAGTGAACAATGTTATAAATTGTTTCAGTGTATTTACAATGAACATGTACTTAATTCCTGTGTCATTTGGTATTTAGACTTCTGGAGTGAAACAGCTTTTAGTGTGTTCTATAAAACAGGGAACTCCAATAAGAGGAAGAATAAAGAAGATAGACTTAAATCAGTGTGTTTTACTTTTGCTTCCCGGAGTTTATATCCCTCTCTGAACATCCTGTCCTCCAGCACTAATGGGCTTAGTGAAATTTTACCAGATCCCTGTCAGAGAGGTTTAAGGCCTTTAAAGTCACTATTAGGGATTTTGTTTTTTCCATCCTTAAGGTGTTCTTCCATTCCTGCAGAGGGACAGATATAGCACTGTCCAGTGTAAAAACCTAGGGAAATAGAAGCCTTTTGACCCTTAAAAGTTATGTTTGCCTCTGATCACTTTCTGAGGTTATTGTACTTCTGCAGAAACACTATAAGGAGTAACTGCAATGCATGCCCTAGGTGTCTGGGCTCAGTGGGAAGGAATGTGGAGCATCTTCTGGCATATTTGTTCTGCTGCTAGTTTGTTAGATGCTTGATATCATCTTCATGGCACTGATTTCATCTCTCTGGTGACCAGTGGTAGGACCCAAAGTAGTGGCATGAAGCTCTGTCAGAATAGATTTAAGTTAGATATTAGAAAAAGGTTCTTCACTCATAGGGTGGTTGGAACAGACTCCTCAGGAAAGTGGACACAGTTCCAGTGGGACAGAGTTCAAGAAGCATTTGGACAGTGCTCAGATTGGGCACATGGTTCTTGGGACTGCCCTGCACAGGGCCAGGATAGAAGTTTGTTGATCCTTTGTGGGTCCTTTCCAGCTCTGGATATTCTGTGATGATGCTATTACTTATATGTATCTGTGTGAAAGCTCCTTTCAGACACAGATGTTTTATCATGATATTGTATTTATGAAAACCTATTTTCTGCTTCCACATGCCTGCAAACACAGAGATAATTTAAATAAATTTTGGAGGTGGTTTCTATGCCAGAGATTTCATTTGTGTTACTTCCCTCTCATCTATGTAAATCCGTGTGCTATATGAGGTTAGGGACGAAGGAAAAAGAAATAAGCCTTTAAGGTCATGTATGTTTATCCAGTGTTAACAAGGAGTGCTCATGTAGCACAACAGGCATCACACATCATCGGCATCAAAAATGCAAATAATTTCACAGTACCCACAAAAAAATACGTCTCTGAATATCATGTTTATGGGTAAATACGTTCTCTACCACACTAGTGCAATTGTAACTTTTCTAAAGAGACAACATCAGTAATAGGGTTGACACTAAAATATACCATTGTTCATGTCAGTTTGTCTCAGTTTTGAACTTGACAGAGAGAGGTCTCTAACTTCTGAACTAATATCACCATATCTAAATACAAAGTATTTTCATAGAAACTGAAATCGCATAGTTTTAAGGCTTTCCACATCTTTATTTAACTATTTCTAAAGCAATAGAAATGTCATTAGTGTGGTTAGAACTGGAAGGTTGCAATAAAACAAAGACATCTGAAACACATTTGAATAAAGTATTTAGGAGTTTCCTAGGTGTCGAGAGGTATTCTAAAAGATTTGATAGGGAGAATGAGACAGAAATTAATTGACAACATAGAAATACACTGAGATTAAAAACAGGACAGAGGAGAAGTTTGCAGTAGAGTGAAACAGGTTAGATCAACCTTTCACTGCTTTGAAAAAACAAATGTCATAGTTTAGTAGGTAAGAAGACTTTAGGAGATGAATAATTTTGTTGCATTCCTGATAGGTTTTATAGCTTCTCTGTGCTAGCATGCATCATGAGGGTCAGGGATACGGTTTCAGGGGTACTTGTGGTAGCATTTGTGAAACTGAGAAAAAGAAATGTAGCCCAGTTACAGTAAAATATTGCTCATACCAGACTCTGCTTTCAGTTGTAAAACTCCAGACTGTCCTTTTGCTGTTAACTGTCTTCCTGTCATAGTACTTCCACAAATGTTTTGATAAGATTTCCAGATGTTGTGCTTTATAGTCTGTTTTGGGGGAGCTGTCTCTTTGAAGATGTAACTGGGCAGAAATAAGCAAGCATATCTTAAAAATAGTAACTTTATAGATGGCATACACTTGGTAAGAAACAAATCCAAAGAGTTATGTTACCAATCTGATATAAAAATGCAACCCCCCTCTAATTAACATTAAAACCAAAATTAACATTAAAAAAGTTTTAATATTTTTATTTATTGAAGTCAGATTTTTAATCCTTATAGAAGAAAATAAAATCTTATGAAACCATTTTACTATCCTGAAGGTTTACTTCACTGGCTTGCAAAAAAGTTTGTGACTATTTTAAAAATATATGTAACCACAAGAGTATGTGAAACTGTTTCAAAAACAGATTAAAAAAATACTGTGGAATGACAATGTTTTTTATTTTGGAGACATCCAGTCAAAGTGGGAAGATTCTGTAGTTTGTGCCATTATTTTTGTTATGTTGAAAGGCTTAAAATATGCTTCTATTTTGTGTGATTTTTTGAAACAAGTTTGAGGTTTTCTGGAAGAGCAAATAGGCAGGTTAATAACTGCAGAGATTTCTCCCAAGACTTTTGCCAAAAATCCTACAGTCCCAGAAAGGGAAAAGTCATCTCTGAGAATGGTGCATTACTTAGAGGTAGAGTCCTAACATGACAAGCAGGATTTCAATTGCTATGTTTTCTGTCAGATATTGTGCAAGTTATTTTTTTTTTTTTATGCTTTGTTTCTTCCAATGGGTGCCTTAATGTCAACTGGATTATTTTTTACACCTCTATCAATTAGAAATATATCTATGTCATAGATATATATATATTTATATATGATATATGTTTATAAATAATTTGCTGTAGATCTCTTCCAGTATTCCTTTCTCTAGGCTGCTGTTACTGAATTCTTTACTATGTTTCCATATTAAACAAAATTTTGAGTTCCTGCACTAGTAAGATTTTGTGAGATAGATGTAAGTTTCTGCCTGAGTAAAACTGATGAGTGTTCTAGAAATTTAGAAATTTTATGCAGTAAAAAAATTTTCCCTCACAATTTGGTAGAGGAAGTTACTAAAAAAGTCCCTAGTGACTAGTGACTAGGCTAAAGAGTGTTTAGGATTTAATAGGCTAAAAACTATTGATGTACATCTTGATTTACTAACTGGTAAGTAAATCAGAT